CCAAAAGAAAAACCGACATGGAAATAGCTGAGGCCCGCTTAAGAACAAAGGCCGAGTATGTAAAGTGGATATCCCGGAGGGAGACCCTTGAGGAATTCACGCTCGGGGTTCTGATCTATCGGCCGAGATTGAAGAGGCCAAGAGTCTTGAGGCCGAGGCAAAAGAGCGATATGAGTCCGAGGGTTCCGGTGCTGAGTCGAGCTCTGGTGAAGATTAGGCGGAGATGCCTTAGCTTATTTTTGTTTTCTTTTGAGGCTGTTTTATCGTGCCTGTGTAAATATTTTTGGAATAAATAAAATTTTTCTTTTGGCTATATAGCGTCATTTACTTTTTAGTATTTTCTTGCAACTTCCTATTTGAAGATTGTCATTAAAGACTTAGCATAAAAATGGACATATCCTAGAGTAATCGCTTCCCCGAAGCCCGAATAAGGCCCAGTTTTGATAATAACTCTGAGTTGCTTAGGCTTTGAAATACTTGGTAAAAGCGAAGCCTTTTAAGTTACTTGAATGTTTTAGCCATACACCACGGTGCTCTGCCGAGGGAAACCTTTTTATAGGTTTTAATTATATGTAAGGACCTTACTTTCTGAGTCGGGCTTCAAGTTCGCCCGTCTGAGAAAGTTTGGCATCTAGAATAGGAAGACGCTCAGTGAGTTGATCCCTCTCAGGCTGAAGCGCTTCTTTGACCAGTATCATCTTTTGCAAACTCTCAGAGACAAGAAGGTTAGTCTGTAAGGTTAATTTTGAAATTATCAAAGATGGTAAAAAGTAAGTGTAAAGAAGAGGAGAGGAAGATGAATGATCCTTGAGCAGAGAGATGCATGATGTTGTTGATTAAGCATTCAGCAGAGAGAGCATCAATTTTTCTCCAATCCTTATTCAAAGCCATAGGTTTCAAGTAGTTGGCTACCCCAATCGGTTTGGAGAGTAAGTAGCATTCTTCTGAAACTATAAAGGTAACACATTTACTGTTAGGATTTCGGATGAAAGTCGGAAAGATGTCTATGTTCCCCTGATCGGGTGATTAGGGGAACAAGCACATTGATCTTGTTCGATGGAGACCGGTGGAAAGACAGGTGCCGGTGGCGGAGAAGAAGTTAGGGCAGCACCTAAAGCATAGCCTTTCTAATTATTAGGGACAATCAGAGCTCGGAAGTGAGAATCAACCAATTCATACTCTCAAAATAACCCCTCCACATCCTCCGATGGAGCTATTGGTATTTTTTTCTTCTTCTTTGAAGAGAAACAGTTTTGGTATTGTCCTTGATTTCTTCTTCATCAATGACCATTGTGTCCGGTCGAGATCTCCTCTATGGTCGGTGGCTTCTCTTTAGCCTCAGTCTTAGACGAATGCTTCATCTTTGGTTTCCTCTCCTTGGTTTGGGGAATGATCAATGACACACCTTCAGTAGAAACAAGAGCTACATCACGAGCTCTTTTCCGGTCAAGGACCTCTTGAAACCGCTGTTGAGCTACCTTCAGATCAAGTAAAACCTCAATAGTAGGGCAACCAGATGATCCCCTTGGAAGGCCTGAAGTAGTAAAATAAGCAATCTATTAATGTATGGAGGCATGTGTCAATAAGGTAAAGATGAAGCTTTTCTCACCGTGATCTTCGCCCTTCCAATTTTTCTTTATTGAGATTTCCTTCCACAAGCGTAGATCCGGTGTGAATGTATTAAAAAATTCTCTACTACTGGGAGAACCTAGAGGGCGGATAAAATAGAAGGAAGGAAAATTTAAGAGAGAGTGAAAATACTTTGAGAATAACACAGTAAGAGATACTTGAGAAAGCTTACGAGTGTAGTTCCAAGATTCATGGATAGGGGATGCTGATGTTGGTAGGGCGACAACAACAAATCTCTCCGTCCAATCATGGTCATTGTCATCATCCATACTGGTAATGATGGCATTGTGTCCGCGTTTATTAAATTTGATTACGCCTCATCGAAAAATCTTAAGAGCATAAAGGCGGATCAGATGTACAAGGGTGAGGTTTTCGTGTGTCCGAGAACACAGGTATAGGAGGGAAGCTACTGTACGCCAAATGGCTTAACCCATTTCAACCAAGCAAACTTGGTAGTTCCGGAAATGTTCCAGAATAATTGGGTCTATGCTCTGCCAAGTCTGAGGGTAAAATGGTATGTATAAATAAAAATATACTATGGTTTGCTAAAATTTACCCTCTCTACTTCAAGGGGGGCCAAAACTTCAATATTCTTCCAATCACAATTGTCCTTTACGGCGGAAAAACTGGCCAGGTGAATAGATGAAGGATATTCACCAACTAATGTTTCTATCGTTGCTAGGGTCAGAGGATTCTTTTTGGACCTGGAGATCTTTTTTGAAAGAACATTGAGAAGGGATAGTTGTGTTTGTTATGGGAGGTCCAACGTCAGATTTCTTGGGCTTGCTTTTCTTGGATTGCCCGTCGTCAATACAAGTACCGACACTGGTGGATGAAAGTAGAGATAAAGTCAAAATAAGGCTGTATTGTTTAGTGGCAGAAGATGAGTTATCAGGGAAAGAAATATCAGAATACGTAGTAATTAAGGAAGTGTGGTATTCGAATTTGAAGGGTTTGCTAAGAAAGAGAAGGCTTGATGAAGAAGTGTGAAGAAGTGAAAGATGAAATTGGAGAAAATGGAGAAAGTTTATAGGCGGTTCAATATAAAGCCATCATTACCTTGGTAACTGACGCAACTATTTGTCGAAGCACGAGACAACACGTGTTCGGCTCATTAAATGCAAAGAAATATGCGCCCTTTCAAGTTTCACAAACGGTTCAAGAACTTTTCCGACAAGAAAAGAGAAGGTCTTATCTACTTTCCGGTCACATCAAGTTGACTCACCAGAGAGTAGAAAGACTATATATATTGGGTAGAATTGACAGTTTATAAGTATATGCTTATCAAGTAGACACGTGGCAGTAATGACAAGGTGGAGATGAGTCAGTAAATAGTTGATACCGAACATGCATGTGACTGGTATTGTGTAAATTCCGAAGGCATAAAGGTCGTAAAAGAGAGTTTGAAAGTAAGGTACCGTTTGGAGAAGACAACATTAAAGGAGCAGCTGTTACGGAAAATCATAACATTTGTTTTTAAACGTTATGCGCCCATTAAGAGGGGTTTTATACACTTTAAGAAGAACATGATTTGAGAATTTTGTCTCCTCAAAATTAACTATAAATATTAACATTTGTAGTCATTGAAGGACACAAAATACTTGTATTACAAAGGCTGATATTCTTTTCTCATTCTTACAAAGGTTTATACAATTGCTATTAAGCTTTCTAATTATTTCGGGGGGATCAACTCGAAGTCCATGCTTTTTCTTTCTTTAATTATCTTTATTTTATTTCCTGTATCATCTTATTAATCAGGTAAACTTAACCCAAGTGCCTATAAACTATATTACAAATTCAACTGTACCCTTTTAAGGGTAAACACTTATATAATTATCATTCACTATAAAAGCTGAATTTTACTCAGAATGGACTTTTTATATTATATTTTATCTCTCTATTATAACTTTTACTTATAACGACAACATCCATATTTATGGTAATTTTCTTTGTAAAATTATCCCTCTATAATAGCCACATAGAATTTCTAAGATTATCGATGATAAGTTTGGCTTCAAAGGAAAGTTATCAGAAACTATTTTGCAGAAAATTTGAACACAAATCTTCACCAATTTAAGTATTCAGTCGTAGGAGATTGAAATCTATGCAAGCTAAAATATAGAATTTTTCATCAATCTTGAAAGAATTTAATTTTGTAGTAGCTTTAAAATGTGTGCCTTAGAGTTTAAATCTTTGCACGTTTAGTTATGAATTTTTTATAAAATATTCTCTTTTCTAATATTTAATTAGTAAAATAAGCATATATTTTGATATTTAAATTTGAATAATCTTTTTTATCTTTTATATGTAATAACTAAAAAAGGAAAAACATTTGATTTTTGAATATTTTTTTTATAATAGCCAAAATACATTTAAATGTCAACTGCTCTTATACATGTACAATTACTATTCGCTATAAAAGTAAAAAATATCGGAAAAAATGATGATGTTATAGAGAGATTTTACCATACAATGAATCTCTTAATAGATATACAATAAATCTGTATGGGATAGAATTTGTTCTTATTTAACGATCGCATGAGAAAACGACACGTGGAACCGAAGATAGAAGATAGCCAAACTCAAAGGCAATGATCTTGCTTGTCATCAAAGAGAATGATACTCATAAAGACAAAATAAATGCCGCCATCCGGTAGCATTCAATGAAGAATATATCACAACATTAAGTTGTCCGACGGATTTTCCAAAAATTCCAAAAATGCCCCCGGGCCCACGTGGTCAAAACCCGGTTACCCATTCCCCCACGAATTCAAATATGTAATTTGTTTTGAAATCGGACCTCAAATCGAGGTCTAACTCCCCAATTTATTGAAAACCTAGGTTCTACCAAAAAAAACCCCAATTTCACCCATGAAAATCCTTGATTTTTAAGTGAAAAACATGTTTAATGATGTTAAAGACTGAAAGAATTGAGTAAAAATCAACTTACAATTGATTTGGGATGAAGTTTGCTCTTGAAAAATCGCCTATGGTGTTTGGGATTTGAAAGAATGGTGAAAAGTGATGAAAATTCGACTAAGTATAAAATTTGCTGGGCCTCGGATATGGGAATTTCGAACCTGGGTTCACAATTGCGAACCAAACAGGGCTGGGAATTGCGAGATTTCAGTTCGCATTTGCGAACACTGGGCCTCAATGCAGACTTCGCATTTGCGAAGTAATGATCGCATTTGCGATCTGGGCCCTCTCGCATTTGCGAGCAAGGGCGTCGCATTTGCGACTACAACCCATTTTCCCACTCTTCGCATTTGCGAAAGATTGATCGCATTTGCGATCTGGCCCAGATTTCCCCTTCTTCGCATTTGCGGGTCGGTTGTGCTGATGCTACGCTTCTGTGCATTTTTGCACAGGTCCAGGTTTTGAGGAGCAGCAGCAGCATTAGTACGGGAACAGACTTTCATTATCATGAGACCGAGGTAGCCTTGCAGGCGTCCGCAGGCCCGACGTCTCTTCTTTATGTTCTCTTTTAGACTGTTGCCTCCTTGTCTCGAGACTGACAGCTTCTATGTTTCTTTCAGACCTTTGTATTTAGTATATTCTTAGTGGTTCGTGAGTGATGTGACACCATATCTTGGGTAGAGGCTATTATTAACTGTTCCGCGTTTTGATTCAGATTTATAAATCAGACTTCCGCTATTATTCTTAGTAAATTTCATGTTCTATATTGATGCTATAAATTGTTAAAATAATTGTTTAGTGATGAAAAGGTAAATAAGTTGGCTTGCCTAGCTACCACGAGTAGGCGCCATCACGATCCCGATGGTGGGAAATCCGGGTCGTGACAAAGTGCGTGAACCGTTACAGAGAATATGGCATCACTGCCCACCGCTACACATTCTTCAATGGTCCTCATAATTGTCATTAAAGAGGAGCTTAATTCTAGGACCTTGTTCCCTAGGTGTAACTATAAATAGCAAGGTATTTCACACTTGCTATCTGGAAAGCAAATGAAACATCTTATTTATTGTGAAAAGGATTTTTGGAAAAATTATAGTTTTCAAACTATCTCATATATTTTGACGATTTCGAAAAAGGATTTGGGTTTTCACTGTTATTCTTGAAAAACGGAAACTATTTTTGAAAAATTGTGAAAAAGATGAGCATTTAATTTCTGAGTTACTTCCTTATTTATATGCTCTACATTGTTATGCATTATTGTTGGCTATTGGTGTTGTAACCGGCCACGTTCCAGCTCGTCACTACTTTCAATCTAAGGTTAGGTTTGTTACTTACCAGTACATGGGATCGGTTGTACTGATACTATAGACATGTGATTTTTGACCCTCCCCAAGATTTTTATATTTTAGCACGTAAATATTTAATTTAGGCCTAATATCACTATTTCAACTAATTTTGACTCTTTTACTTTATTTTATTACAAGAAAATAAAAATTGCAAAAAATAGGTTCATTAATGTTTTGTAGTCATTTTTAATCTTGAAAAATACCAAAAATAGTTTTGTTTTAACAGCCAGTCTTATTTTAATGGTTATTTTACTTAAGTAGGATTAATTAATAAAGGAGATCGTGTTTTTAGGCTCGTTCGCGGAGAAAGAATAAAATTTGGGTTCAAACGACCCATTTTTAGGCCCAATTCGGATTAGCCCATTAAGTCTAATACCCAATAGGCCAGCAACCTTTGGCTCCCCACACGGTTGTCCCTTCTAGACTCTTCTTTGGAACAAAAAACAAATAAAAAATACCCAAAGGACCTAAGAGCAATAAGCTGAAAATACAACAAATAACCTAAACCTAGACTCTACATATAGGCTAACACCTAAATCAACAAAGACACACAAAAATACACAACAAAAATGAAGACCTAAAAAAATAAGGGAAAATTACGCTCCTTGTCACTTGGCCCAACAGTCCATCAAAAAATGGCCCACATTTGAAGCCCTTACCTGATATAGCCCAGGTTGTATATAATCTGAATTTTTTTTCACCAGTTAGCCCACCCTATTTTTTTCTTTTCTTCGTTCTTCTTCTTCTTCCCCTTTCACGACTTTGCACCCAAAGTTTCTCTACCATTATATATATTCTTCAATTCTCCTTCCATATTCAAAGTTGATAATCACTATTAATATGAGAAGAAAAAATACCAGTTAAGAGAATTACTATTTTGGAGTCACCATTAAAGGTCATTCGAAGCTTCAATTTCAAAATTGGATTTTTCGATTTTGTTAGTTGTTTGGATTAGGTGTTGGACCAATTGATTGGGATTGTAAGGGGAGTTCAAAACTCAAATTTGAAGTTATTTAGAGCAGATTTGAGGTAGATTTGAGTTGAATTTCAGAAGATGCCCAAAGAAGAAGAAGAACCAGTGAAGCTCCATTAATATGATTCATTTGTATAATAGTGTATAATGGTGTATAATATTGTATAAGTAACATATAATAGTGTATAAACATCTCTTATACATTATTTTATACAAGGCTGATAGATTTCTTATTCCTCCTCCTCCTCCTCTTCATTTTTATAGACTTTTATACAACTATATATATATATAATATACCTCTTTGTATAAAAGTGTATAATATTGTATAAAAGTGTATAAGCATTTCTGACGAATTTTTTGTACGATTTTCACTTGCAATTTTTGATATTTGGATCCTGTAAATAATGTATCAGCCTTGTATAAGTGAATCTGTTTCTCTTTGCAAAGTATACTTGATGTAGTTGTGCAGAATGCAGATCAGTACTGTGAATTTTCTCAATTGTATTTGATGTAGTTGTCTTGATTCATTTTTGTTGTTTGAGCTGTTTTCTGACTTCTCTGACCATAATGTGTAATGTCCTTTTATCTTATAGGTTAAAATCTGATGCGAGAAACCGCTCTCTGCAATAATTATTGCTATTCTATTCAGGAGTGGTTTGACACTGAATGAGCATATTGCTTCCATATGGATGAGCATCTAGACTTTAATGCAATGCTATTGGATTAATGCAGATCTTAGTATAAGTTGGACGACCTTATTTGGACAGGGTATCCCTTTTAAGTTTGGATCGTATTTCTAGCAGTGAAGGAAGACAGTGTTGATTTTTTTTTTGCCTTGAAAGAAAAGACATAATAAGGATGAGGCAATGACCTTTATATCTTAGCTAAGAATGGAGATTTCAATAGGTGAAGAAGGTAAGCTGAGAAAGCTATCAGGATGTTCATAACCTCCATTAAATGTTTTTGACCTGTGTATGGAAGGGTTTGTTGAATCCGCCCTTTTCCTCCCCACACACCCAGATTGTATCGTGCAGGATGCTTTAGAGTTCTGAAAAGTTTTATCGGAAGGCATCTCTAAGTGGGCTAAAAAAATTCAGATCTAAGCTTATTGATATTTGGCTACACATTTGCAAACTTGTAAGTGGGCTAAAATAATGCAAGGTCAACTTATGGAGTGCATTATTATGTAATTTTGTCAAAAAATAACGCCTAATCTCTAATCAAAAAGTTGCAGCCGTTTTCAGAGAAAGCCCCACCCCCCCCGACCTCGTCTCCTCCATCCCCCATCCCAAACGACCTTTCACTCCTTCTCTCCTCACCAGCGGCGAACTCGCCGGAGCACACCAACGAGGACCCTCCCCACCCCCTGAAACTTCATCGTCTTCACAAACCCCCCAAAGGCCAACAGCCGCAACACCTCACACACAACACCGGCGACTGAACCTTTCCGCCGTTTCCACCCAAACCCGTCGGCCAGGCCCATCTCCAGCCACCTTCACTGAATCAGTAGCCCGCCGGAGAACAAACGCACACACACAAACAGAGTGAGGGAACGAGCTTAGGGCTAGAGTAAACAGACAGGAACAGAGAAATCGAAAACAGTAAAAAAATAATACTTCGTCTTTTCCATTCTCGATTTGGTTCTCAGTTTTCTGCACCATGGAGTTTACTTGATGTTTGGAGCCAATTTTGAGTTTGAATTGAGTTGGAGATCACCGTTGAAGGTTTCAGTCCGAAGTTCCGATTTGGTTCGCGCTGATTCTGTTCGAAGCCGTGTCGATGTCCGGCTGTAATTGTTGTTCCGTTTCAGTCTCTATAAACTTCAGGTTCATCTCTGTTTCGTTGGCTTCTCCTTTGCAGATTTAATTAGCTCATGGAGGTGTTTTATTGATTGATTTGTTTGTCTAATTTTAATGAATATGCACATATTCGATTAAATTGTCTCTCTGTGTCTGATCTCAAATTGAGTGCTAAATTCCTTTTGTTTTAGTAATTTTCCTCACCCTTGTTTATGAATGTTGGAATTTAAATGATGTATGATAAAAGTAACTGATCATGAGTTCAATTTTAATACGATGTTTTAGTTCTTTATTTGGTTGGAGTCCATGTTAAGCAGTTAAATCATTTGGGATTAAACTTTGAGCTCTGTGGAGCTTGACATGCCTTAGATTACAGTTGCTGAACTTTGGATGCTATCAATACCAAGAAAGGTCCTTTTGTCTAACGAGTAATTTACGATTTAATACTACGGGCGATGTTTTGCTTCAGTCGCCGATAGTAGTGATCCTCATTTTCTGATAAAGTGACAAAATGATAGAATGCTCTAGGTGCGTTTAATATATCGTTGTGATTGTAGACACGTTCGCGTGACATGATTACGATTCTAAAAATAATTCGGAGTATGCGTTCGCGCAACTTCGACCAACTTTTCCAAAAATAAATGTGTTATTAATATAATCCTCTTTAATTAAATGTAGTTCCTTAGGCCGAGGTGTGCCATCCACAATTTAATCATACATGGCCCTCGTATTAATTTCATAACTTAGATATAACAATGACAAATGCTCGTAGTTGCTTTAGGCCCGTTTAATATATCATTGTGATCGTGAACACGTTCGCGTGACATGATTACGATTTCTAAAAACGAAACCGGAATATGCGTTCGCACAACTTCGGCCAAACTTTCTTAATTATAATAAAGCATTATTAATTGTGGACACGTTCGCGTGGCATGATTTTTGACGCGCCAAACAAACGGGTACACGTACGCGTGGCCCGTTTCAAGATAATTTTCTTAATTAAAAAGCGGTGAAAGGTAAATGCACATAGGTTTCTAAAATCAGTAATTAGACAATTAGTCAAGCCAAGTATGATCAAAGCGACCGTGCTAGAACCACGGAACTCGGGAGTGCCTAACACCTTCTCCCGGGTTAACAGAATTCCTTACCCGGATTTCTGTGTTCGCAGACTGTATAACAGAGTCAAATCTTTCCTCGATTCGGGATTTAAACCGGTGACTTGGGACACCATAAATTATCCCAAGTGGCGACTCTGATTTTAAATGAATAATCCCGTTTCGATTGTCACTTAAATTGGAAAAAACTCCCTTATACCCTCTCCGGGGTGTAGGAAAAAGAAGGTGTGACAGATACTACACTTCTGCACATTGCGTGCAGATGTTGGCTGCTGAGGTTTTTGTGTTTGATGGGAGCTGGACTTAAAGATGTACCTGCGTTCATGCTGCAG